AACCCCACCCCCTAGCCCCAAATATAATCCACTCTACAACCCTCATTGCCAATCCTTTTCTTGTTCATAAACACTGTCTTTCTCCTACCCAGTTTTGTTCTGAGAAACAAGACATTTAACTGCTTATTTCCTCTTACCTTCAACCTTACCAATAAGCATTTTATATGGGCTCTCAACTGAATATAAAACATATTATGCACAAGAAGCTCTATTTTCCAGACAGTCTGAATTAAAGATACACTTTCATTTCCAAGTTTTCTGAAAGAGGACACTATCATACAGTTTTAAAGCTATGGCTCTTCTAACTGAATGTTCACTATTTCCACTCTTCCTTAAGCACAGAGTATACCAATGACTACTAAGAGTACAAGAAAGTATATAAATTTCAAAAAATCTAACAGAGTATGTGTGTTATAGAATTAATTTGCTAGTCTGTTATTTTGTTTGACATTCTGAATAAGTGATTTATCTACTAAAAGATTAAATGATTTTCTAAATTTGACTTTATGAAAAGACTGAGAAATAACCACAAACAATAATAAAATACAAACCACGTAAAATATTCCAGTGCTTTTTCTATGTAGTCTACAGCTTTCCCATCAAGATAATCAACTAGAGCAGCTTTTGCTTTCAAAAGATGACATTCACCCAGACCTAAAATCAGATAAATTTGTTATTAATAAAACACAAAATTAAAAGAAACAGAATGAATTTGCGATATACTTAACATTATCCTAAAGTCACTTCTCAGAAAATACATCTTGATTATATTTAATACAATTCTCTTTATAACTTTATTTTCCATACATCTAGTATAGAATACAAAAGAGGTGTTAATGGAACAAACATGCACTAAAATTTATAAATATATACCTATGGACCCTAAGAACTCATTTTCTTGACTTTTGACAAGTTATGTACCTCTTCAGAACTTTAGTTTTAAAAAACAGGGTGATTACATAAACTATATTCTTTTCCTTTGCATTAAATGGTAGCATATTATCATTTATTAACTATGATGAAATGGGATTTGATCTTGCTATATTTAAATCTGCACAGCTATACTATAAAGATGAAATGAAATAATGATTTCCTAGTAAACAACAGATGTAGTTCTTCTTCCCTTGAGGAAAGCTTTTTCACAAAATTAAACAAGATACCCAACCATAAATTAAATGCCACTTAAAATTGTATGATTTCTGATTTAAACTTTGTTTCTTTAAAAAAAGAATTGTTGAAGAGTAGTGATAATGAGTTTCAGTTTTTTAAGGCATATATAATGCTAAAAATTGAAATAATATATGGTTGGTGATGTTCCATTTTACATTACAAAGGAGAGAAAAAAATTACCGAATATATACGTAGAGAGGGAGCTCTGTGGCCTAGCAGTAATATGCGGTATTGCAATGCCGAAGGCACATGATTCAAATCAACCAGATAACTCCACAGGATGGTGCTCCAAGTATGGGCATTCTCCTGTTTGATTTACTGTTTTTGAAAACCTGCTGGAGGGCCACTTGATGGCAAACAACAATAATATACACATGTTGTTGTTGTTGTGCCATTAAGTCATCTGTGACTCATAGTGATCCTATGTACAGCAGCTTTGAATCTTGCCCTGTCCTGAGCTAGACTCACTAATTCTGACACACCAACCTCCATTGCCCCAGTTCCTATATCAATTCATCTTATCTGGAGTCTTCCTCTCCTGTGCTGTCCCTCCACCCTTCTGAGTATGATATCCTTCTCCAAGGATTGGTCTCTCCTGGCCATGTGCCCAAAATACGTGAGATGGAACTTCAAAATCCTAGCCTCCAAGAGGAAACCTGGTTTCATCATCTCCAAGACAGACATATTTGTTCTGCTGGCAGTCCATGATATGTTCAAGACTCTTCTCCAGCAACACAATTCAAAGGCATCAATCTTTTTCTGTCATCCTTAGTCACTGTCCAACTCTCTGACGTATATAGCAAGTCATTGCAAAGACCATGGCCTGGATTAGGCACACCTTAGTCTCTAGACTGACATCATTGCTTTTCAGCACTTTGAAGTGGTCTCTGACAGCAGATTTTCCCAATGCAATTTGCCTTTTGATTTCTTGACTGCTGGTGTTAAGAGTGTTGATTGTGGATCTGAGCAAGCTGTAACTGCTAACAACCTCAATCTCTTTTCTATCCCTCATGGTGCTGCCAACTGGTCCAATGGTGAGAATCTTTATCTTCTTGATGTTAAGTTTCAACTTATATTGAAGACTATAGTCCTTGAAGCTTGGAAGGAGGAGTGGCATCCACTTCCATAATAGCTTGCCTACGGAAAACCTATGAACGTGGAGAGACGATGAAAGGCATCCAAGCATCGAGGACTCTCCTTCATAGGGTTGCTATGAGTCGCCTGCAACTCGAGGGCACTTAACAACAATAACATCAACATAGAGAGAGAGATCAGCTGGCCCAGTGGACAGAAAGTGATACTACCAAGCCAAAGGGGGGTGACTTTTAATCAGTGGCCCTCAGGCCTGTCTTTCATTGTTTTTGTTCATACATTCTTCTAGGTCGTATAGCCCTGGTGTACAAGTTGCGGTATAGCAGTCACTTGTGGTTGCTGTGAGGCTGAACACCAAGACACTAATTTGTTAAATGTGTTAATGGCTGGTTACCCAACATGGACAGAGAGTGGGGTGGAGCTCCCTGATGAAAACAAGCTTGGAAGGAGGATGAAAGGCACCCAAGCTTCAAGGACTCTCCTTCATAGGGTCGCTATGAATCGCCTGCGACTCGAGGGCACTTAACAACAAAACAAACAGTCCTTGATATTTTGCAGCAAGTACTTCAGGTATTCTTCAGCTTCAGCAAACAAGGTTGTGTCATCCGTATAACGTTCATTGCTGATGAGTCTACCTCCAATCCTGATGTCACATTCCTCCTCATAAAGCTCTGCTTCCCGAATGATCTGTTCTGCATATAAATTAAAAAGGTATGGAGAGAGGATACATTCCTGATGTACTCCATTCCTGATTTTGAACCAGGCAGTGTTTCTTTCCCTGCTCTGTTCTATACATATAGTGGCCCTTAAAAAATTTAGATCATTAAAAAAACAATATAAACTTTCTAAAAATGTAAAATTTAAAACACAATGCTTCTTTGATTTACAAAACAATTTAAAATATTAAGCTATGGGTACCATCGAGTAAGAACTGATCATAGCTGATCCTTCTAATGGGTTTTCAGAGGTAGCAAATCTCACAGAATGCAATTGTCCATCTTTTTTCTGCAGTCAGTAGTTGCATTTGGATTTAAAAAGCACTTACCACTAAGCTACCAGGGCATCCTAAGATCATCTAGCGTTACACTGAATTAACATATAAATCAAACCATAAGACAAAGCAAAGCTATAATGATGCTTGGCTAAGTCAAATCTCAATCATATTACCAGTTTTTAACTGTTGTGAAACAAGAATTAATCCTCTTATAGTCAAATTTGCATAATAAGCTATATTAAAATGGTTTCAGACAAGACAGTTACTTTTGATTAATGAAGTCGTTTTCAAGTTACTCAATGCATTTAGCAAATTTACTCAATAATTTTCAATTTCAAAAGAACAAAAGCCAAAAAAAACCTATTTAAAAAATTACCTTTCAATGCAGGCACATAATCTTCTTTTTTTTTAATGATCAATTGGTACTGGGCTATAGCTTCCTTATATTTGCCTAGGATTTGCTGTATTGCTGCAACCTTGAACACACTGTATATGGATTCTGGGTTCAGTTCGCTGGCTTTGGTGAAGGACTTCAAAGCTGTTGTATAACCACCTCTGCTTAAGTATGCCTCTCCTAACGACTCCCAGCAATTGAAGTCCTTTGGGTCTGCTCTTAATGCTGCCTGTAAACTAAAATTTAAAGAAAAAGTAAGAAACTAAAAGTAACAGAAGTATTTTCACATCAGAATGGAAAAATTTTAAAATATTCCACTAAATCACATACATTCATGGTTCTCTCAGTTTATAAAATTGCTATCAAAAAGTTAAATATTTTACTTTTAAGGTTTGAATTATTTTTTTAATATCAAGAAATGTTATAACCACTTTAGAAAAAGAAAGAACAAAGTAGTTTTGGGGAATATCCTGGCCAGAACATTCTCTTCCTTGATTATCTTACTTGATTAGAATTCTAGTTTTCTATTTAATAGGGAATAAGTGTATGTGTGTTTGTCTCATTAAAGTCTACAGAATCTACCAGTAGTCTTTCCATCAAAGTGCAATGTGATATTTGAAAATCAGGAATAATACACATGTTCTAAATTTCTGCTCAAATTTCATTTCCATGAAAAAATAAAACATGCCTGCATTCTAGAAATTAAGATAAATATGAAACTATTTTATCTGTTTTCAATAAATCTTATTACCCTGAAGTAGATAGAGTTCAAACAAAATTATGAAAATTGAGGAGAAAAAAATATGTATCTTCAAATGCCCTTATTACAGGCAGGTACTCCCTTTATAAAAAATAACACGTTAGCCTGAGAATGACAAAGATATAAATCTTAGCTTCTCATTGTTCCTTAAATTTCTACTGAGAAGCTACAAAACAAATGGTTTATGCTGTATACCACTAAAGCTTCATGTCACTTAACTGGTTATATCTTCAACAAAGGAGCATCATTTAATTCATCTTGCAAACGAGTGCCTGGTGGGTCAAACTCAAATGCACTGCCATCAAGTCACAACTGAATCACAGCTGACCCTTGAGTGGATTTTCAGAGGCTGCAGATCGCACGGAAGGAGAGTGTTCATCCTTCTCCCTAGGAGCTGCTAGTGGACTGGAACCAAGAGAGATGCTACCTGTATGTTAGCAGCACTTTTCCCTATGGACAATCACCAGTGAGCCCTTACAGATGATAAGCATGAATATAAGCTCCTGGGTAGCTGTTGTTATATACCATCAAGCTGGAACCAACCCATAACTGATTGTCCAGTAGATTTTAATAGGCAATAAATCTCATGGAAGGACACTGCCCAACTTTCTCCCTCAGAGTCATTCCTGGATTTGAACTGCAGGCCTTTGGGTTGGCAGCACAACTCCTTACCACTACACCATAGAACTCCCTCATAAGCACTAATTAGCTGCAAAGATAAACTTATGCATTCCTACAAACAAATTCCTTTGCTAGTAACCAAAATAATGGAGATTTAACCCACGAGAATCACCTCACACAAAAAAAAGGAGTGGTGTGGTAATTTTAAAATTCACCACTAACAGTGGTCCAGAACATAACTCTACTGTGACATTCATCCGGTCTCTATGAGTAGAGACTAATTCAGTAGCATTTCTCTAATTATGAATAAATTTTGCCATTTCCCCCCACAAAATACAACATGGTAGTGCACAGCTGCAAACCTAAATGTCAGCAGCTGGAACCTAGCAGTGGGTCTGCAATGGGAAAAAACACACATTCTTCCCATAAAAACTGCAGCCAAGGAAACTCTCTGAGGCAGTTCTGTTCTGTTACACAGAGTCATTATGAATCAGAATACTTTCAATGGGAGAGTTTGAGCAATGAGTCAGAATCAATTCAATGGGACAAAATATCAACATGAGGTAACTGGAAGCATCATTTTAGGAATATATAGGTGTTGCTTTGAAGAACTATTGGGCTGTCTTGTGTAGTGTAATGTAGTAAGGTGCCTTACTCAGCCACTGCTTGAGAATGCTGGCCTGCTTTCAAGTAGTACAGTCCTCGCCTAAGCCAAGCCCATTTTGCCGTTCCAGCGCTTGCCTTTTGAGTTACTGCAGTTAGGATAGCTATGGCAGTTTCCTGATAATAAAAGAGAAAGATGAAAGACATTGAATATTGTCAAAATGCAGACTACATATGTAAAGTACAGATGTACTTTCATTTCACCACTTCTGATATATGTATTTCTGCGGGTCACATTACAGCAACTTCTTGTTGTTGTGTATTGTAGAGTCGGAAACAACCCATAGGTGACCCTCTGGCAGGTGTTCAGAGGCAGTTAAGCTCACGGAAGGAGACTGCCCATCCTTCTGCAGAGGTGGCCTGGAAACACATCTTTTTGGGATTGCAGTGCAGCTTCTTGCCAGCAGGAGTGGCATCTACTTCCTAAACAACATGCCTTTGGGAACTCTATGAACTTTGATAAATGATGATAGTTATAGAAACGCTTCAGGACTTTTGTTCACAGGGTTGCTATGAGTTGTGCTCAACCTGACGGCGATCAACAACTTCCAGTATCTATTAGTATAAATAGACACACATGTAAATGCTCAGCATTAAAATTAAAGACAGTATTTAAGAAGTATTTAAGCTAGTAGACATACCATTTCTTCCAGTTCTACACTTAGGTCAACTGCTGCAGCTCCAGATTCAGCATCAGAGTCATCTAAGTCAAAAGCTTTCTTGTAACATCCACGGGCTCTGTTTTTATCTCCCACCACATCTCTGTAATAATGACCTAAGTAGCAGAAAACTTTGCCCATGTATGTATCCAATCTTGCAGCCTTTGAAATAAATATTTATAGTAAAAAAAAAATCATGAATGTTCACTTAGATATATATTTTTAAAAACATGAAAGATACATAGATGGAAAAAAAATAATTTCATGAAATACACAAAAATATCACCATACTTCTTTTTTTCTTTCTTTTTGCGTTCTTGTTCTCATAAATTCCTTACCCAAACATCTTTTACTATAAGGTTTGAAATAGAAATAAGAGTTGGCCCTCACCAATTAGAAAGGGCAAATACACGTACAAAAATGTTTTTGTGAAATAGAAGTGAAATTTGAACCATTATTACATTAAACCAGTTTTATAAAACCAAGTGAAGAATGTAGACATCTAGATATTAACTATAAAAGCAAATAAAATATCTAGAACTACTTAAACACAAACAGTAAAAATTGCCTAAAACAATACTATATTCTAAGATAATTTTGTTGTTTCCTATAAATTTATAATTTAAATATTAAAGAATAATTTACATATTTGTGAATTAGTATTCTTCTGGAAAATCTACATACTATTCTCGTGACACTTTAAAGATGAAGTATAATAAATAAGTTCAGTAAAGGGTCTCCACAAGGAAAAGACTGATAACCCAATTACAAAATGGGCAAGAGACATGGAAATATTATTCAAAGAAGAAGATGGCAAACAGACACATAAGGAAATGCTCAAAATCAATGTCAGTAAGAGAGATGCAAATCAAAACCACAATAAGATACGATCTCACTCCAGTAACAATGGCAAAGTTTAATAAGACAGCAAGCAATAAATGTTGGAGAGATGTGGAGAGACAGGAACTCTCAAACACTGTTGGTGGGATTGTAAAATGGTACAACCACTCTGGAAGACAATTTAGTGTTTCATCCTCAAAAAGCTGATCATAAAAATTCCATATCATCCAGCTATCTCACTATTAGGAATATTCCCAAAGAAATTTAGAACTGAGATACAAAAGTAGATTTATACACCAGTAATCACAGCAGTGTTATTCACAATCACAGCAGTGTTATTCATAATCACAAGAACATGGAAACAGCCCAAATGTCCAATCACAATTGCATGGATTGAGAAACTGTGGTACATTCACATGACAGAATACTACATAGTACTCAGGAGCAACAATTTAAAAAATTACCACATAACTTGAGAATGGCTTGAGGGCATTATGCTGAGTGAACTAACTTAGTCTTATAAGGATAAATCCTGCACAGGACCATTATTGTGAAGCTCTGTCTCACATATTTTGGCACATGGCCAGGAGGTCCTCAGAGAAGGACATCATGCTCAGAAGGGTGAAGGGACAGTACAGAAGAGAAAGACTCCAGATGAGATGGATCAACATAGTAACTGGGGTAATGAGGGTAGGTGTGTTGGAATCAGTGAGACTGGTTCAGGATAGGGCAGGCTTGAGAGCAGTTGTATATAGGGTGGCTATGAGAATAGGTTTGCAGGTGACTCAATAGCACATAACAATAATAACTGGTAAAATGTGTATGGGAATCTAAGGGAATAAGGGATGGGAACAGAGGCAGTAGAGACAGGGACTGGAAATCAAAGGGTCACATAATTTGGTGGGTAGAGAGAGGAGGGTAAGGGAAATGGGAAAGATTTGGTGGGGATGTGGAAAGACAGAGTAATGAGAAGCATGGTTTAATGGTGAATGATTTTTTTAACACATAATGAATGAGAATGACTGTATAAAACACAATGTGAATGCAGCATAGTGTGAAACACAATGTATATATAAATCTTGTATGCAAATAAACATATAATTAAAAATAATAATAAATTTGTTTAAATTCAGTAAAGAATAATTTTATATATTAACATTTATGATTTTATAATGAACTATGGTCAACTAATAGCTGAATATTAGCATTTGTTTTTACCTTCAGAAAGTGGGTAAAAGCCTTTGTTTTATCTTTCCTTGTTTCTTCACTCATGAACCAATATGTCAACCCAAGTTGATAATGGTATTCTGCAACATCAGTGTCTTTCTCAAGAGCTTTCTGAAAACTAAGCACATAAAAAAGGAATTTAAAACATATGCAAGGACCCAGATCCCACTCCTCTACCCAGGCCACCCCTGGCCTTAGTGATCTTACAGCAGCTCCTAGAATGAGAACCCTCAGGTTAGCCCAGTGAGAGCCTGGACTGGAGGGAGACCTTTCACAAACTACCTTCTCTCAACCTCAGCGTGTTCAATGACCACTCCAACTGAAGAACCTTGGGGACTGTACTCCAAGCTCTGCTCCCTCTCTGGACATCCTCCGCTGAGCTGCTGCTGTGGTGCTACCCTGGGTCCTGATGCAAGAGGGCCAGGGTATTACTGAGTGCTGAAGCTGGGAGACAATGCCAACCCCCATCACCCTGCTGCCCCAACTGGGGACTTAATGGAGCTGACCGGAGGTGGGCAGTGCTTCATCCACTGGCCTTCCCCCAGCACTGGGGAGACCGACATCCCATAAAGAGACCAGTCATCAGCTTCCCCATCAGACTAGATCTTCAGCTACCAGAACCTTCCCCAGTGAGGTTACTGAGGGGAAGCAGCTGAGGTGAGTGTTGGGGGGGCAAGCCTAAGAGGGAGGACTTGGCAAGGAAGATAAACCACCCAGAGTATTTGAGTAATAATTAAGACTGTGAAGAAGTGGGGGGAAAAAAAAACCACCCAAAAACCCATATCTGATAAAGGAAATTCTAGTTAGAACATGCCACATTGATTCAATGATGCCAAATTTGAAACAATTCATTTATTTTATAATTTAGATTATAATGTTGCTGTTGTTATTATGTTCCATCGAGTTGAGGACAATTCAAAGCAGCCCGATCAACAATGGCTCTGAACCTTGCCCCACCCTGAATCAACTTTATAGTCTAAGCCTCAGTCTCCAGTGCTATATCTAATAGTCCAGGCGTGCTCCGTTGTTCATAACGTTTTCAAAGTCCTGTTATTTCAGAAGTGGAAGGCAAATCCTTCTTAGTCTGTTATGATTTAGGAACTCCACTTTTTTTAGTATAGCCTCTGACAGAGGAAGGGAGGACCTGTTTTTGAAGAAGGGTAGCTTAAAAGTAAAATGTTCTTTAGCACTACCAGCAGTGTGTTAAATGTTCAGAGCACATCTTAAACATAAACAAGTTTAGTAAAGACTAGGATCAGCAAACCCACCAAGAGATTTTTTTTTGGGTTACCATGCTACTTAGTAGGTGCATTTTTTAAAAATACTAAGACTTATGGCTTACAAATATAAAATTTATGCAAAATCTGCATCTGCAACCCCACTCACTTTGAAATTTTGAGAAACATAATAAAGACAACATGACTGGACCGAAGAGCCCTCTAGACTGCCTTACCATTTTTCTGCTTGTTGATAGTCCTTCTTGGTAAAATGAATCAAAGCCTCGAGGGCATGAGCTTCAGCTAGGTCTGGGTAAGAAGAGAGAAGGTCTTCCATAATCTATAAAGTAGATAGGTACCTATCAGCTTTCTATTTAAATCAAATTCTAACTTTTAAAACATGCTCAGTTTAAAAATACAAACCAAAAAAAAAACCCCACCTTTGTTGCTTCATCCACCATTTGTTTGTTCAGATAGGCCAAGCTTCTGAGAAACAGAAGTCTGGGGATATTATCTGCATCAGAAACCTACAAAATAATTGTAAAGACTTCTATAAACCTCATGCACTTAATTTAGTGTTGCTCACTTGAATGAAAGAACTTCCAGAGAAGAGCAGAGCCTTAAATAAAACGAAGACATCGGTGTCCTTCGATACATAAAATTTCAAATGCATATAAAAGTACATAAAATAGAATAATGAACCTTCACATACCTATTGTTCATCTTTAAAATGATCAACTCAGTCAGTATGTTTGCAATGATAGCTCTATCTATTCCACTATACCTCTGATTTTATTATTGCTCCACCCTATTACTATAATTGTCTCCCCCCACAGGGGATAATGCGTGTGCATTTCTCCACTACCATAAATTATGCAGTTGAGTTTCCCACATTTAGAGTAATCACACAGGCCAACACATCTGGAATGCCTCACTCTGGGAAAACTCCATTATCATAGTATTTCCTCTGCCAGGTAAGTATGATATTATTATTTTTATTTTTTATCAACAAATCCTAGATATCTTAATTTTTTTTCCCCATCTGTCATTATTTCAGGAACTATCTCTGAAAAAGATACCACACTCATACCTACTGGGAATCAGACAGGCAATCTCCTCCCATATGACTTACTACCACTGAAAAGTGGCTGGAGGGTCAGCTCTGGGTTGGTTCCTACTCAAGGATACATAACAACAAGAAGTACACCTATGCAAAACAAACGATAAATCTGCCATAACATTAAATAATTAGCTAGTGTTCAAGAGTCAAGTACAATTCATAGCGACCCTATGAAAAATAGATCCATTCATCATGATGTTGCCAATCAGTTCAGTGGAAAGTATCTTTGTATTCTTGATACTGAGATGCAATCCATGCATGTTGAAGGCTGTATTCCTCGATCTTCTGCAACAAGTGCTTCAAATTCTCCTCACTTAGTTACATCTAGAACCTTGATCTAATTCAGGGTCTATGTTTCAGCAAGTATATCTCATATGTACTTGCCACTTACTGTATTGTCTTTCTTTTCCATGATGTTTGCAGACACTGATTCTTCAATGCCTATTATCTATGAACTCATTCACTCAAAAACCAAACTTGCTACCAAGAACTCTGGTGGCATAATTCACAATGTGCTGTACTGCTAAATCCACAGCTGTGCTTCTCCTGGGGTTCAAATCTACCAGGTAGTTCCAAAGGAGAAAATCAGCCCATATTCTCTCCTTTCATTAAGTTTTATGACATCAGAAACCAATGAAGAGCCACTGTAATTCAGAAGAGATTTGATAGTAGTGAATATTTACTCATTACCGAAAGCAAGAGGACAATTTCCTAATCCATCATTCCTTTCTCCTTTATTAGCTGGAATACATCAATAAAGGGAAATTTCCCTTTCTCTCATCATCTAATTACATTTTTTCTTATAATTTTTTTACTGTGATTCATTCTTTATTGTCTATTCTCCTCCCTTCCCCCTCCCCAGTTTGCTTTTCTCTTTAAAAAATTCATTCACTGTTACACAATTTTCTCCTTCCCCACCCTGACCCCAGTCCACTCTGCTATGCACCTCTTATTTTGGACTGTTGTCATGCAAATAATGTCTAATTATCTATTCCTTTTAAACAGTTCTTTCCTCTTTCTGTTCTAATATAGTGTTCATTATTTGTCCCCTTTTCTTCATTTCCCCCCAACTCTTGTGTCAGTCCTGTTTCAAAACAGGGGCATTATGCAGTATTTACCCTTTTGAAACTGAGATATTTCACTCAGCAAAGAATTTCTGTAGGGATATTTTAATCTTTCCACTTTTTAGCGGACTCTAAAGATATGTCTCATTGAGAAACTTTTATTGCTTTTTTATTGGTGAGGGTGGGGTAGGAGACAATCAAATACTCATGGATATAAATATATTTGTTGTTTATAAATATACTGCAGTTATTGGTGTTCAAACTGTTCTCTCTAAGCCAATGGGGGCCTCTTTATCTTGAATTCTTTTGGCACAATTCTAACAGCTTTTTATAGTTTCTTTGCTTTATAGAAGAACAAGATATTCTAGACTCAACTTGTACATTTCCTATCTCAGACTTGAAGCCTACCAGTTTTTTAAAGCATTGGAAAAATCTCTACAAGACACTCACACAAAGCACATTACTGATGAGAAGGCAGTAAGAAAACAAGAGTATTAATTCTTGAAAGATATCGACAGCTGCTCTAATTTTAAAGACGGTGAAACAGAAATTTCTTTTAAAAATACAGTGATGATAAAAAAAATAAAAGGACATTTGAAAAGATTCACATTTGAAATAATGACAAGCATGAAGAGGGAGAAAGGGAAAAAATACTTTGAATTTTTTTAAAAATTGGAACAAGCTGTTTGGCATCTGAAGAAAAGTAAAGTTGCTGCCCATCAGAGAATACTGCTAGGATCTGAAGTAAAAGGGACTTGGTGAGTATGCGGACTTGTAGTGATCTCCTGGATCCACTGGAATAGTGGAAATAGGAGGCATGCAGCAACATAGAGACAGGCTGAGCTTGAATACATTCCTTCAGCACTGTCCATCAACATACACAGATGTATGGATAAGGAAAAGGGCGTCTGGTTTAAGGAGCCATTAGGACCCCTGGCTTGTTAACTTGGTCCCATGTGAGGGAAAAAGGTGGACTGAAGGGACCAGTTAGTCTAGAAAGCAGGGGAAAGTGTGGACTCCTGAGTCTGCAGCAGCTGATGCACATTTGGAACCAGCCATGGATGGCTGGGGATGAGCTGACCAGAACCCATCCAGATGCAGAGAAGACGATTCATGCTGTAAGCTAGTGCTTATGCTGCAAACTGATAGCTTGCTCTGGACTGGACTCTGCTTGTGGATGCAGATACTCAAAGTCTCCAAACTGAACAGAAGATTCTTTAGAAAAAGGGACATGCTTGTTCCCTCCGTGTACTGGCTTAATGAATTGTTGCTGTTTGAGTCTAGTATAATTCACAGCGACCCTATGAACAATGAATCTGAACTCTGTCCTATACTGCACCATCCATATCATCCTCCACACATTTGAGTTCATTCTTGCAGATACTGTATCAATACATCTCCTCGAAGGACTTCCTCTCTTTCACTGATCCTCTATCTTTCCAAGCATGACATCCATTTCCAAAGAACGTCTCTCTTAACAATATGTCCAAAATATATGACACAAAGTGTCATCATCTTTGCCTCCATGAACATTCTGCTTGCATTTGGTCCTACATATCTGGTTTGATTTCTTGGCAGTCCATGGACACCACAACTTAAATGCATCAATTCTTCTCCTGTCATCCTTACTCAACTGTCCAGCTCTCAGATGTATACCAAGTGACTGGAAAGTTGTGCCTTGAATCAGGTGCACCTTAGTCTTTAAACTGACAGCATTCCTTTTCAGGACTTTGAAGAGATTCCTGACAGCAGACTTTCCCAATGCCATACGTCTCCTAAGGGTACTGACTATGGATAAATGCAAGATGAAATCCTGGATAGTTTGAAGCGTTTCTCAATTTATAATGATGTTGCCTATTTGTCCAGTTTGTTTTCTTGATTGGAAATGGTTTCATACGGATAGGCAAATGAGAAATTTTGTATAAAAATGGGGATTTTAAGAGATAGAGCTGAACTTGGGATTACTGTCCTATAGAACGAGACTAGGGAGCCTTTGTCTAAATCTGCTTGAGAATGAAGTACGGGGGGTTGAGAAGAGATGCTATAATTGAAAGGATTAAGAGCTTTGTAACACTGGCATAGAGCCACGAGGTAAGGCTGAAGTGCCTGTGAGCAACATATCAGAACCTGTCCTGATTGAGCAACTGTATACTGCTTCCATCTCAATTACAGCCTTTCTGACAGGCAATATCATGATGGCTGGATAAAGGACTGAAACTAGCAATGACTTCATCTCACCTGGATTCACAAACAATATACGTGGTACTAGCAGTCACGAGATCTTAGTCAGGGATCTCGCTAAATTACTGAGAAGTACTGATGTCTCTACTTTCAGCTAAGATCCATCTAACATCAGCTACAACATCCCTAGTACCACGACCCCTTCTAAACCCAGCCTGGACTTCTGGCAGTTCTCTGCTGATGTACTGGTCCAGTCGTTT